ATTGTTTTTATACAAGGTACTTCTTTAACATAAGGTATTGTTTTTATACAAGGTACTTCTTTAACATAAGATATTGTTTTTATACAAGGTACTTCTTTAACATAAGGTATTGTTTTTATACAAGGTACTTCTTTAACATAAGATATTGTTTTTATACAAGGTACTTCTTTAACATAAGGTATTGATTTTACCCAAGGTACTTCTTTAACATAAGGTATTGATTTTACCCAAGGTACTTCTTTAACATAAGGTATTGCTCTTATTCAAGGTACTTCTTTAACATAAGGTATTGTTTTTATACAAGGTACTTCTTTAACATAAGGTATTGTTTTTATACAAGGTACTTCTTTAACATAAGATATTGTTTTTATACAAGGTACTTCTTTAACATAAGGTATTGTTTTTATACAAGGTACTTCTTTAACATAAGGTATTGTTTTTATACAAGGTACTTCTTTAACATAAGGTATTGTTTTTATACAAGGTACTTCTTTAACATCAGGTATTGTTTTTATACAAGGTACTTCTTTAACACAAGGTATTGTTTTGTACAAGGTACTTCTTTAACATAAGGTATTGTTTTTATACAAGGTTCTTTTTAACATAAGGTATTGTTTTTTATACAAAGGTACTTCTTTAACACAAGGTATTGCTCTTATCCAAGGTATTGCTCTTATCCAAGGTACTTATAATATGTTAACATAAGGTATTGTTTCCACGAAAGGTACTTCTTTAACATAAGATATTGATTTTATCCAAGGTACTTCTTTAACATAAGGTATTAATTTTACCCAAGGTACTTCTTTAACATAAGGTATTGCTCTTATTCAAGGTACTTCTTTAACATAAGGTATTGTTTTTATACAAGGTACTTCTTTAACATAAGATATTGTTTTTATACAAGGTACTTCTTTAACATAAGGTATTGTTTGAACCCAAGGTACTTCATTAACATAAGGTATTGTTTTTATACAAGGTACTTTTTTAACATAAGGTATTGCTCTTATCCAAGGTACTTATAATATGCTAACATAAGGTATTGTTTCCACGAAAGGTACTTCTTTAACATAAGGTATTAGTTTTCTACCCATGGTACTTCTTTGATATAAGGTATTGTTTTTACCCAAGGTACTTCATTAACATAAGATATTGTTTTCTTCAAAGGCTTAATAATTATATTCTGAGGTAATGCTTTTATCCAAGGTCATTTTTTTATGTGAAGTACTGTCTATCCTTATATCTATATCATGGGTGATCCATCTCTATAATTCTCCAACCATAAGAACACTCGTCCTGTAAGTATGAGACAACCTGGAACTCCTGTCCACAACTCTTCTTCTAATCTCATGTAATCTTTTATTACACAATTTCCCGATATCCCCCACCCTTTTCAATACATAGATCTGTCCATCAATATCACAAAAAATTATTCCTCCTATATCATGGTGGCCCAAATATATTTGACTCTGGGCCAGACAATCCGGTGATTGATGTTATGTGTAGTGACTGTCAGCCTGTGATCCTACAACAAGCCAACACTGTGGGGACCCCAATAGTTGTCTGATACCTGATGTCTACACTAGGTCCCATGGACAAACAGTTTATGGATTACACTACAAGAACAAACCATAGCCTCATTTAAATTTAAGTCTACCTTGCTGCCTTGCCAATGCAAAAAATAACACTCAAAATTTCCGAAAAGGCATAAATATAAACCATGCCTTGTATGTAAACAAAGTTTCTGTGTAATGCTCCAGAGCAAAGATATAACAGATGAACTGATGGAGTCCATTTCTGTATTTCCCATAAATTTTCTGAAAACTGATTTTTCCTGTTTCACTACCGAGACTAATTTTGATAGAATCAACTCCAGATAATCCTACAGTAAGACTTCTGTCCCAGTTTCTGTGTTGCCAATCTGGCCTGGACCACTCAGTCCCAGCCAACACTGGCTGGAGTCCAATGTTTCCCAATTGCTGGGAGTGATTAATCAGAGATATCAAATATTGATGTTTGGCTGGCACCCAGCAGGTAGACATGGAAAAACAGCCATCATATGGGTCCGTTTTGGGGAGTCTCAATGCTGCTGCTGGTGTACCCGATTGTGGTGTAAACTTATTGCTGTATAATTAGATAATGAGCTGAAACTTGATTTGCCATTGTAAACTTGAGACTTTCATGAGGTGAGATGAAAGGGGGTTTAATGCTGCGTTCAACATTACTGCACAGTATGCACACTGATTTTTATGTTCATAGCTCCATAAACGCTGAAGTTGAAGATAATTTCTAAGGAACCTTGTTGCGCGTATGTGTCAACACTGTATGACAAAGAATTTTGCAGCATGTTAGAAATATGAAGGAAATATAGAAATACAAGCCTATTGAATCATGTGTTCCATTTGATGAACACTTTAACTGTATATGTGATAAGTGACAAGTAACAACTTTATTTTTGCATTTGTGGCCTCATGGCCAATAGTGCTAAGATACAAAATCATACAGATATATTGATATGCAATGCAAGACTACTTAACATGGTAAATTTCTTTTGAGGAAAAGATATCTTCTTTATAAGAAAAAAATTTGTTGTTGACATTAATGAGACAAATTTATCATGGGATGGATTGTTATAATAAAATGGTGGTATAAACAGTTCTCTACATGTCTACTAATGAGGACATAACGGAAGGAAATGAAATCCATCTTCAACAGATCCTAAATTACACTTCGAGCATAACAGTTGGTTATGATCTTTCAAACGTTTAAAACGTAGTATCTGAACATTTAATTTATGCGACGCACAACAAAATTTACAGTACACTCTTAAGAGATCCTTTGACTGAAACAGCTCTAATACATACTTCTCAATGCCAAAATGAGCTTTAAAATTACCATGATTACTAAAAAAGGATGACGTTGAAATCTTGGAATGCTAATTTTGATACTTAATATCTTTACATCTCTGTGTAAATATAGACTGGAAAATCTTGACATTACACATTCTTGGCTATTCCAAACAAAAACAAAAACATAACCGTATACGTAGTTACAACAATGTAAACAATTTCAATACTATTTATTATATTTACAGGCAAAACTGTTAAACACAGCAAGTGATTTCCCAAGATATATTCCTCAATAACAAGGTTTTTGAACTGTACAGTTACATATAGCATATAGAATTTAAACATACCTATCACAGAACATGTTGAATACCCTGAGGGACCAGTAGACAGCCTTTAAGACATGAAGTTGACATTGGGGACCTATCTATTCTCCTCTGACTGGTATGGCAGGGAATTCAAATAAACTGTTAATACATGTAGTTACATCACTGGATACAACATCTTGAACCTCTTCATGTCTCATACTACAGTTAACAACCATTTGATTATGTTACAGTGACAAGGACTGAAATAGAGAGTGAAACAGTAAATAGTGAAATGATATGGATGAAATATTTTCAACGTGCCCTGGTGGCATAACTAACATAGGAAAATAATACACATCATAATTCATTTAATGGAAAAGACAATAAAGTTGACCAACTAAAAGATTCAAAACCTATTTTTGCACCCGGGCATCAAACTGTTTATAGGTGGCAATCTCCATCTCACAGCCTAACAAGGGTGTGGATATTTTGAATGCCAAAGCGCATAGCAGGTAATTCTGTTTTGGATGGTAACACAGTTTATGGGTCCAGGACAAAGGAAGCTTAACTTTACATGATGTTTGTTGATAAATTAAACAGTAAATTGAAATGATTTAATTGTTGTGATGTTTTAAGTTTAATTGGATCATCAAAAAGTATGGGCACACTTATTTTCAGAAAGGTACACCTAAATTATCAGTCTGGTGCCCAATGGCACCCCTGAAAACAAAATTCATTTCTATCCCAAAGTGAAGAACTATTCTGTTATCTTGCTAAAGGGAAGAACTATTTTGTTATCATGTTAAAGGGAAGAACCATTCTGTTATCATGTTTCAGTAAAGAACTATTCTGTTATCATGCTAAATTAAGGAACCATTCTGTTATGATGCTTCAGTAAAGAACTATTCTTTTATGATGCTTCGGTAAAGAACCATTCTGTTATGATGCTAAATTAAGGAACCATTCTGTTATGATGCTAAATTAAGGAACCATTCTGTTATGATGCTAAAGTAAAGACCATCATGCTAAATTTAAGACCATTCTGTTATCATGCTAAAGGGAAGAACCATTCTTTTATTGTGCTTAAGTAAAGAACCATTTTGTTATCATGTTAAGTGGGGAAAAATTCTATTCGTGCTGAAGAGAAACAACCTCTCTGATGTAAAAGTTTCATGCTAAAGCAAACATTACTGAAATAATCTACTTTAACATACATGATTCCTCAGTCTATTTCAAATATAGACACAGAATAGAAGCAGCCATGGGTGCTTATCCATGTTCATCATATGACACCAGACAAGAGAAAGTATTTTACTGGAATGAGAAAGTATTAGTACACTTTCATGATTTTATCAACTCTGGTATCTGCCCTATTGTAACCTTTCAAGAATATTTCTTGGGACACATTGGATAAGAATAAGAGTATGTTACAACATTTAGCTGATCTAAAAACCCTGATCCTATGAGCAGGTGTAGACAAGCAAGTATATGTATTACTGACTAATGGTTCTGGATGACATCTCAGGAGAAGGGAAACCTACCACAAAGATCATTTAGAAAATCACAAAATCAAGATAATTATAACTGAGCAAACCATGCAGCATTGGAAACAATGGCCATCCACTTAATCACAACCATGAGCAAATCACTTAGTGCCCCCTGTGTTTCTCACTTATATCATTATATACAACTCTTTAAAATAATGACAATCCATGAAGCCGTCTTCTAAACATGTCACCTGTCAACTGCTGATGTTATGACAACCAGGTATATTCACCATGTACACATTCACTCACAAACACAAATAATCATCACATCATACACTGAAACAAAAGGACAGCTTCCTCACCTGTTGAACACCTCCTCAGTGTATATAGGAAGAGATTATCATATATGATCCGGTTGCTATCTGTGGAAGTCACTCTTCGTAGAGAAGTCCAACATGTTCCTGCGTGCACTCTCCCAAACAAACCACAGACGATCACTAGTGAGTATGTCCCTATACACCTCCACCCATTGCTTCAAGACTGGTGAATATTTACCATACAATCAGTCTACCCTGTCTGTTAATGTAGCTGTATAGAGTGGGGTATAGATGGTATCTACACAATCAACACATCCTTGGAGATAGCAGGTACTGGACACTTCTATTGTCAAGCCATAGATATGGTAATGAGGGGCCCTTAAGTTCTGGAATTAAATGCTCGAAGCATGGCTCCACTATACATGGCCATTGTGGGGGTGAATAGACTTGACGACCGTGACAAGGGGTAATACCTCATAGCTGCCACTGCTTGCATGTGAGAGAGTACACACTTATCACTGTGAAACTATGAATGTATTGTTATCAACCAATCAAATTGATAGCCTCATAAAAAAGTTGATACAATGTTTACAGATCCAAAAATGTGAACAATGTAAAATGAATGTCAACGATGTATCATGGAAGTGATTTCTCAATCAATATTGTCTCGATCAATATTGGCATTGTTGAGTTTAAGAAGCAATAACGTTTCTTGCCTTCACTTCTCGCCTGCTTCTATATGAACTAATCAGTAGCACAACACCAAGGAATCAATGTGGGAAATTACTCCATTGTGGTGCAGCATGAATGAAACATAAGGATAAATGGGTTAATATTATACAAGTGGTGCGGTGAATGGCTGTCAGAATATGTACAGGAATGGATCTGACAGTTACTTCAGATACAGCATAACTTGACTCCCAGTTTTTGCAGGCAAGGCACAAGCCTACAACACTCTTACTGTACACTATAGTTTCATTGGAAACATAACTGTGTACAGATGTTGGTCAAATATGTTTATACTATTGTGTTCCCTTGTATTCTACATTCTGTGCCAGGATTTGGATTTAACTGTGTTTCCTGTAATGCTTAGAGCTTGGGGAACATTAGACTAACAACTAGTCTCTGAAATGAACATATTTTACTGAAAAAAGTTCATAGTTAAAAAAAATATAATATAATGAAAAGGAGCCCTGAGACTTTCTTCATTTTCAGACGCTGAGGAAATCTAGACTTGCCACATTTTCTAGACTTGCGTAGCTTTCTCGGATATATTTGCTTCAGGGTCTGTATGACCGAGGAAATCTAGACTTGCCACATTTTCTAGACTTGCGTGGGCTTTCTTGGATATATTTGCTTCAGGGTCTGTACGACAGACTAGGGGAACATGTTTCACTTGGACAGAGTATAGTAGTTGATGAGATGCCAAGACTTGGTATATATCACAGTGATGAATCCTGACTCTTGGTATAATGACCATGACATATATCTAATAAACTAGCATGATCTTATTCAGGTTAAACTGAACAGACTATTACCAAATACATGACTTAAAATATGAAGTCATATACCATCAAGAGATAAAGCAGATTTGTTCATGAAATCTTAAAAGTTGGAGTAAATTTTTATTATCAACTACACAATATTAATCCCCATAGAGATTTCAGGTTAGGACAGGTCCGTAACAATGGTTTATTGTCATGAGTGATGTGAAACTGGTTGGTTGGTCACGCTCAGTGACTTGTTTAATTATTTATATGTTGGATATTGCTTATAATAGTAATCATTGAATTGTCTGGTAAAGATTACAGAAAGCTAAAATATCATTTTATACCATTACACAACAAACAGAAAATAACTAGTGTCGTATACAATACTGGTTGTGTATTAATGTGCCCTGTTATGTCAAAGCTGCATCAAAACTCTTTGTACCTTCAAACAGTACCAAAATAATAAAACTTTTTAAAATGACAAATAATCACACATGCAGACCAAGAAAGGGTTACATACAATGAGTACGAACCTATTTTTTCCAATAAATATTCCAAACATTGAGGCTGGTTCATGAATGCATCTCCTCCGCTCTGTACAGCTTGGAGTCGTCTAAGACTCTCGGCTTGTAATAGAAGGGTATTAATTACACGTCAGAGTTCATGATCTTACAATCATACCATTCAAAATGTGGGTAATTTAACTAACTATGGCTGCATGTATTTAGAACTGCTAAGTACATTCAGAGAAGCAGACTATCGACACTACAATTAACGGTACTCATTTTACGGTTGCTGCTTTCGTCAGCATGTTATCAATATATGTGCCTTGAATCTTAATTCCCATTGATTTCCTTCCTTCTCCTTATCAAGTACTTTCAATTATACTGGAGGAAGTTGCATGACTAGTAGCTCTTATTTCCTGACAAATGCAACCCAAAATAAAGAACACCTTTAGCTTTTCAAGTCTCAATCAGTATACAACTGAGTACCCCAACAACATATGATGTATTCCTCAATACAGATTAAAACCATCAAATCTGAGACAAATCTTGCATGTTCACGCATTGTATAAGCAATCCTTTTTTTATTTAAAAGCAGTAGATAAGTGTTAACTGAGAGGGCAGGCGTATCAACAGGGGGGAAATAACCCATTGCCCGACGTCCGAGTCCAGTGTTTTTTTCTGTCGGGCAAGCAAATTTGTATATCACACTGTACCGGTGTCCAGTTGACTTTCCAATGTTAATTATGTTGCTTATTTTAAAAAATCAACAAGAAAACGGCCGGTATAGAGGAAAAATTATCAGGGCAAGTGATTTTACATGTGCCACTGTACCGGAGTACACTAGCAATTTTAAAGTTATTTCCACCCCTGATCAACAAATCAACTACAGTCTGTGTAACAGTGAGACTCATTCCCTTGTGTTTATCCACAAGTATCTTGTCCCACGCTTGTGACTGAAACCCAGCTATTGTACAAATAAATATGTTATAATATATGCGGACAAGAAATACTGAAACACGCTGTTCCATATTTAACACACAAACTTTGCCCCATTACAAGTTTACCCCCATGTGCAGCATAATAGTGTATAGTTCTGCCCTGAACTACAAAAGAGAAAACATTGATCTTTGAAGGATCATCGATCTGTTAGCAAACAACTCTGGAGAGGTTGTGTCTTGCATTGCATATTTAAGTATTAAACTACTTGAAATGACTTCTTTTTAGCAATGATTAGTTATTTTTGTAATAAATGTCCTAGAGGACTGTTTGGGAGGGGATTTCTTTTGACACAATTTAATCATTACAACATCATCATTAAAAATGATTAAGCACAAACAATACATACAACCTTGTTACCTTCTCACAAACAATACATACAACCTTGTCACCTTGTCACAAACAATACATACAACCTTGTCACCTTGTCACAAACAATACATACAACCTTGTCACCTTGTCACAAACAATACATACAACCTTGTCACAAAAATACATACAACCTTGTCACCTTGTCACAAACAATACATACAACCTTGTCACCTTGTCACAAACAATACATACAACCTTGTTACCTTCTCACAAACAATACATACAACCTTGTCACCTTGTCACAAACAATACATACAACCTTGTCACCTTGTAACAAACAATACATACAACCTTGTTACCTTGTCACAAACAATACATACAACCTTGTCACCTTCTCACAAACAATACATACAACCTTGTCACAAACAATACATACAACCTTGTTACCTTCTCACAAACAATACATACAACCTTGTCACCTTCTCACAAACAATACATACAACCTTGTCACCTTCTCACAAACAATACATACAACCTTGTCACAAACAATACATACAACCTTGTCACCTTGTCACAAACAATACATACAACCTTGTCACCTTCTCACAAACAATACATACAACCTTGTCACCTTCTCACAAACAATACATACAACCTTGTCACAAACAATACATACAACCTTGTCACCTTCTCACAAACAATACATACAACCTTGTCACAAACAATACATACAACCTTGTCACCTTGTCACAAACAATACATACAACCTTGTCACCTTGTCACAAACAATACATACAACCTTGTCACCTTGTCACAAACAATACATACAACCTTGTCACCTTCTCACAAACAATACATACAACCTTGTCACAAACAATACATAATACAACCTTGTCACCTTTTCACAAACAATACATACAACCTTGTCACCTTTTCACAAACAATACATACAACCTTGTCACCTTTTCACAAACAATACATAATACAACCTTGTCACCTTTTCACAAACAACTCATGGTCAAAATGAATACTTATATGTGAGTGAGTGAGTTGGTGGGTGAGTGTTTGAGTGAGTGAGTGTTTGAGTGACAATGGAACACACCTTGAACACAATATACATGTAGGACCAATACTGGTGATCAACATGAGGGTGGGATATTTTTGTACAAATATGGTTTGCTCAGTTTAATAGTAAATCCATAAGAACATGTCGTTTAACTGGAAATTGTCAGCACATATAATACCATATAGGACTGAGTATGTTTGAGGGAGACATTTCAATCCATACATCATACTATACTCAATGCAGCCAATGAGTTAATCTTCCCAGCACAAGAATTGTGATCAGTACAATACAGTACATTACAAATCAAATTATATCAATAAGATGAAAAATAATTAATGCAAAAGAAATCTAGTAACAAAAGGACAGCAACAATTAAACAAATTCATTCCTTTTGAAATCACAGAAAAACATGGAACATTTAAATGAAAATACTTTAATTCATCTAAAACTTCATGCCTCAATAGCATTTGCCATATATAACAGTAGTAGCTATATACATATTACAGAATATTTTCATGATTATGTCTCCACAGAGTAAGCCTTCCTACAACCGTGAGTCTAGTTCACTCACACTCAAGAAGTAGGTCAACCCAGTCCATACTGCTGTGAGCTGTGGCCCAGCGTTGCCGCTGTCAGTCAGCCAATATCCCAATATCTCTCTCTGTCCACATCAGCTGGCTCGTTGGTCTAGGGGTATGATTCTCGCTTAGGGTGCGAGAGGTCCCGGGTTCAAATCCCGGACGAGCCCAACATTTTGAATTGTATTTTTTTTTCAATCTCAATTTTTGACAGTTTAACACTGCTGGCAACTCATGGTGACACAGTGACATCATTCATTTGGGTTTATTTGGGTTATATACTAATATGAAGGTAAGATATAAAATGTCTGGCTTATCTTTAGAATTCAGCACCAAAAACTTTAAGAAAAAAACCCCTCGATAACACAATACATACATAAAAATTTGTAATGACTGTTGCTGGGTTATCGAGGTTGCCTAATATAAGCTCCTTTCTGTCTTCTGCAGTCCCGATATGCATTGTC